TGTTCTAGGTCGTAAAGGTAAAGTGAATTTGAACTTGCACCAACAACCAAACTCGTCTCTGTGACTCCCGCCTACAGTCTTCCCCCGAATACAACGTACGGTCATTATAGCTGAATTTAGACTGAAAGATACCCCAAATTCAGCTATAATGACCGTACGTTGTATTCGGGGGAAAACTGTAGTTACCCCTTGGAAAATAAAAGGAATATAATTATGCCTCTTGTCATTGTCCTTTCCGACTTTGGAGATTTGCTTCAGCGTTTGCCCCATGGAAGTGTCCATTCAGAGACGTGGTCGGTAGCTCCAGTACTGTACTAGGTAATAAAGGCAAAGTGAATTTGAGAGAGAATTGTCCCTACCACTCGTTGAAAAAGAGAAGAGAAGGGATGTCCTTCAGGGAAGAGCAGCATGGTCCCTCAAGCATCACACGCATTAATCGAGAAGTGGTCCAAAAAAAAAAAAAAAAAAAAAAAAAAAAGTGATAATTAAGCATCTTGTCGACGACAGTCTGACATCTCGAAGATGTGAATAGAACGGGATGCCCCTCTGACATCAGGTATCTTCTGTGAAATAGCCCTTGCACCGGCTAGACCCCCGATCTTTGCAATAAACCCCACTCCCCATCTTTGCGGTAAACAAGACTTCCGAAAGCCAAAAGTATTGAAGGGATCGCCATCAGAGTAGGAGCATCATGACATCTTTCAATGTCTCGCTTGAAAGCATTGGTTGGAGCAAGAAAAGTGAGAAAAAGTAAGCGAAAAGAATATATCCAGCGCCCGACATGGGGCGAAGAGGTTCCCTCCCCTTCTTTACCCTGCTCAGTCAATCCTCTGGATCCCAGAGTAATCAATGCTGGCAGGTGTACCCCTATCTTCAGTCTATATATAAGGGACACTCGACCCGCTTTCCAGCAGATGATGCTCCCCACCAATAGATGGAGCCTCTCCCTCGATGGTAGCGGTCTCTGCCCTTACCAGCACCACTAGCACTGGAGGGGGTGTTTGAAAAAACAAAATAATAATAATAATAATAAATAATAAATTTTAAAAAATAAAAAATTGCCCCTCTTATGATTCACAAGAATCACAAATGGATTGCTTTATTTTTCTCTGTTTTTTTTAATGTTTAACCTCCAATCCTTTTCTTCGAATTTCCTTCACCCTACCGGTTACAGTCCAAGTTTGCACAATGCCCCTGTACTTCAAAACTTTCCCCAGTTCCAATTGCAAAATGCCCGAGCCCTAAAGGCGAGGTCCGGATTGCAAATTGGCGCACGTGCCTGACAGGTGCAACGGGGTGCCCAAAAGGCCATTCCGCTCTGCCCACATCTTTTTTTCAGGGGTATGTTAGCATATTGGTCACCTTATGGGGGTATTTTCTAAATTATACCAAAACGAAAAACAAAATAAAAATGGAATTTCGAGACTATAGCGAGTTGTCAGATTGTGCCACAAGAGGCTTCTTACAAGTGCTGGCTTCACTTAGGGTCTCGCCGCACCACTCCCACAGTTTGAATGCATCTGGCCGGCTGAGCTAACCAGATGCATTCAGAATGTCGACATTCGGGGATTGGGCCATTGAGGCCCTACTGAAGTCCTGCCATGCACATGACGACAAAAAATATATTGAGCCAGCTCAGTGGGTACACGCTTGAACTGTTGACAATACAGACCCGTGTTCGAATCCAGATGATGGAACTTGACGCGTAAAAGTTGTAAAACCAACCTTTTTTTTTTTTTTTTTTTTTTTTCAATTTGTACCATTTCTGAATTGCGTGGGGCCGGTCATCTTAATGATAATATCTCAAGTCCGTCGCTCTTCTTAGGAGAAAAAGGGATATTTATTGACAGCTGGCTACGCTGGGTCCTAAAGTGAGGCCCATATTATTCCGAAGTTCTCCGCTCCATCCGGAGTCCGACGTCGTCCCTCCACTTTCAAGATGAGACGCCACTTTGAATGTATCTGTGCACGCCATCAGACTGTGTACATTCAACATGTTGGCTTTGGCCGAGTGGGAGGGCGGAAAAAGGCCGAGGCCCGTAGTGCATAGCAGAGAGCAGCCTCATCACTCCTGAAACACGCGGTTTCCAGATTGGTGGAGCCTCGGTGAAAAAAAAAAAAACAAATAGAAAAGAAAAAGAAAAAAAGTGGAGCGACACCGCTTTTCTGGCTCTTGTCACCGCCAACTTATATCTATCGGAATTTCGCACGACGGCCACGTCACATCCGCGCCTCAATTGCGGACGGAAGCTCGCTCTCTTTTTTTTCTTTTTGTTTTATAACCGAAAATTGCACAATTATTAACGGGGCCCAAGGCAATTACATCATAAAGATAGTAAAAAAACACGCAATTATTAACAGCTCTCAAAAGGTTCGGGGCCAAGTGCCCAAGCCCCAAGGCACTGGAGCCCCGAAGCTTGCTGTCAAAAGCACGCGGTTTCGAGAGTAGAGGTAGATCCATTCTCTGCCTACTTCTCACCTCCAAATCCACAGAATGATCCCGTCACGTTGGAGTCTTTAAGAGCAAAGCTTGATTGCTGGAGTGTAGGCACGTGTTTACACTTCCCGTGTAGGC